TTTCAGCGGACCCAAGCACATCTCAGGCGGGAGGGGGAGAACAGACCCCCAGCGCTCAGGCTCAGGGCACGTTGTTGTCTTTTATTAGACCCCGGGTGCACTACCCGCGGCGAGGCCCAACCAGTTGCAACGACCGTGCCATGGTTCGTATCAGTCGCAACCATTAATCATCATAAGCGGCTTGATAGATAGACTAGGCATCGTCCCCCTACTTTGGGGTGAAGAGCCAGAGGACCCCCAAGATTTCATTGACCAGTGAAAAGATAGGCTACGTAACATAGGGATATTGGATTCTAACGGGGTGGACTTTACCACCTTTCAGCTTAAGGGCAAGGCCCACAGATGGTGGCAGACTCCCATAAATCAGGTTGTGGATATAGCTCGGAGGATCGAGCGTATTTGAAACCGCAGCAGAGAGTTTGCGCTGAGGGACAAGCGGCCCTGACAGTTTGGTGGATTCAGTTGTGCCCCACCTGGGGGCAGAGGTCAATTCTTTAGGGGCTAGCCTAGCAGGACTATGCAGTCAGCATCAATGCCTGCTCGGAGTGCTCCAGCACGACCCTACTTTAGTGATATCCCAGAGAGTACGTACCGTCCGCCAACTATTTAGGGTTCCTCCAGTGGGTATTCAGATCACCAGGGTCAGACTTCAGGTCAGCAGTCCACTACTCCGAGGGGTTGTTTTGAGTGCAGGGAGTTTGTCTACGTGAAGAGGTTTTGTCCCAGACTTCTAGGCAAAGCCGAGCAGTAGGACCATCGGCCCATGATTACTGCACCAGCTACCACACTGGCCGGCCAAAGGCAGAGGGCAGGTGGGTAGAGGTCGCCCTAAATGTGAAGGCCAGCCAGGTGGCGCTCTAGCTAGATTCTATGCTTTCCCCGCCAGGCCAAAGGCAGTCGCCTCTGATGTAGTGATCACAAGTACTATTTTTGATCTAAGGTCTACTTATTCCTATGTTTCTTCTCTATTTTCTCTTTATCTGGATGTGTCTCGCGAGTCTTTGGGTGTTCCCGTATATGTGTCCACACTAGTGGGTGATTCTATTATTGTGAATCGGGTCTACTGGTCCTATGTGGTGACTTTCTATGGTTATGAGACCAGAGCGGATCTTCTATTGCCCGATATGGTTGATTTGGAGGTTATCCTAGGCATGGACCGGTTGTCTCCGTACCATACCATTCTTGATTGCTATGCGAAGACTATTATCATGGTGATGCCTTAGTTGCCTATATTAGAGTGGAGGGATTCGTTTGTTGGTACTTCCAGCCGGGTTGTTTCTTTCTTGAAGGCTCGACATATGGTCGAGAAAGGTTGTTTGGCCTATTTGGCCTTTGTTCGGGATAATACTGCACAGACTCCCACGTTAGATTTAGTGCCGGTGGTTCGGGAGTTTTTCGATGTATTTCCTGTTGATCTACCAGGTATGCCGCCGGATCGGGATATTGATTTCGTCATTGATTTGGAGCCAGGCACCCAGCCTATTTCTACTTAGCCTTATCGCATGGCAAACCATGGAACCGAGAGAGTTAAAGGAGAAGCTTCAAGAGTTGCTTGAGAAGGGGTTCATTTGAATACCCAGTAAGTATCTTCTTCAGCTTGTTTGACAAGTTGTAGGTTGCCAAGGTGTTCTCTAACATCGGCTTGAGATCTGGGCATCATCAGATGAAGATTCATGCTTCGGACGTTCTGAAGACAACTTTCCGGACCAGGTATAGGCACTATGAGTTTATAGTTATGTCCTCGGCTTGACTAACGCCCCAGCTGCGTTTATGGATTTAATGAATCGGGTGTTCAGATGGTATATCGAACTTCTTGTCATTGTCTTCATTGATAACATTTTGATTTACACGCGTAGTAGTATAAGGGACCACGAGCAGCATTTGAGGTTAGTGCTTCAGACCTTGCGGGAACAGAAACTATATGATAAGTTCTCCAAGTGCGAGTTCTTGTTCGATTATGTGGCTTTCTTGGGGCATGTTGTATCAGGTGAAGGTATTAAGGTGGATCCTAGGAAGTTTGAGGCAGTCCAGAGTTGGCCTCGTCCTATCACAGCGACCGAGATCAAGAGTTTCTTGGGGTTAGCGGGTTATTATCGTCGGTTCGTGGAAGGCTTCTCGTCTATTGCAGCACCTTTGACTAGGTTGACCTAGAAGGGTGCTCCGCTCAGATGGTCCGATGATTGCGAGGCGAGCTTTTAGAAGCTCAAGGCTGCTTTGACTACAGCACTGGTGTTAGTGTTGCCTTCCGGTTCAAGGGTGTATACTGTGTATTGCGACACTTCGCACGTTGGCTTGGGTTGTGTATTGATGCAGGAGGGGTGAGTTATTGTATATGCTTCACGTCAGTTGAAGCCCCACAAGAAGAATTACCCCTTACATGATTTGGAGTTGGACGCGATAACTCATGGTCTCAAGATCTGGAAGCATAATCTTTATGGTGTGTCCTGTGAGGTTTACACTGATCACCGGAGTTTGCAGCATTTGTAAGCAGAGGACCTTAATTTGAGGTGGCGTAGGTGGCTTGAGTTACTAAAGGACTATTATATTATCATCATTTACCATCCGGTCAAGGCGAATGTAGTTGTGGATGCCTTGAGCAGAAAGGCAGAGAGTCTGAGTAGTTTGGCCTTCATTTCGATAGAGGAGAGGCCATTGTCTTTGGACATTCAGTCCATGGCTAACAGACTCGTGAGATTGGAACTTGCAGAGCCTAGTCGAGTTCTTGCATGTGTTGTGGCTCAATCTTCATTATTTGAGCGGATCAGGGCTCATCAGTACGATGATCCGCACTTGTCGGTTCTTAGATAGATGGTACTGCAGGATGGTGCAAGGAGGTTACTATCGGTAAGGATGGTGTTCTGCGACTCCAGGGTCGCCTATGTGTTCCTAATGTTGATAGCTTGAGGGACAAAATTCTTGAGGAAGCACACAGTTCTCGGTATTATACTCATCCAGGTGCTACGAAGTGTATCGTGATCTGAGGCAGCATTATTGGTGGCGGCGGATGAAGAAGGACATAGTTGAGTATGTAGCGCGATGTCTAAATTGCCAGCAGGTTAAGTATGAGCACCAGAGGCTAGGATAGTAATACCAGAGTGAAAGTGGGAGCGCATCACTATGGACTTTTAGTTGGGTTGTCGCGGATGTGGAGGAAGTTTGATGTTGTTTGGGTCATTGTCGACAGGCTGACCAAGTCGGCACACTTTATTTTGGTGGTGACTACTTACTCTTCAGAGATGTTGGCCTAGATTGACATTCAGGAGATTATCCGGTTGCATGGTGTGCATGTTTCCATCATTTCAGATACTATGCTGGGTGATATGGGTTTAAAGCTATGCGGGAGGGGGTGGTTGTGGAGACGGTTAAAATAATTAATTTAAAAACTGATGCGGGGCAGGTTGTGGGTTTCAACCAAATTTTAGAATTATGCATTTCTTAACCCAAAAAAAAAAAAAGAAATATGTATTTTACTATGTTTCTAAACAGATATGTTTAGTTTCTTTTTCTTTTGGAGTGTTCTTAATATTTTTGAAAACTTTTCAGAGTTTGAAGCGTGCAATTTCCCCTAATAAAATTATAAGATCATAAAATTTGGAGCACCAATGTTAAAATCATCCCAATAAAAAAAAATAGCAGCAACATATAAAGGTCTCTCCTAAGCATATGGTTCCTCCATACAAAGAGTTTCAGACAGTGAGTCAAAGCAAAAAAATGAATACTAAATAAGGACAAAAGTGAGTGTATTAATTAGAATGTCTAAAATTGTTTAAAAATAATATAAAAGTAGTGTTAGTTGAATGACCTCTCAAGTTAGAAAAGATTGACCACCAGCTAAAAAACATTAAGAATGAAAAAAACTGTTTGTAATGTGGGGCGAGGCAGGGCAGTTTTATGGGGTATAGGCGAGGCAGGTTGAAAACAGAAAATTTTACTATGCAGAGGGCGGGTTGAAGTTTTTACAGGTTAACATTGAACCCGCACCGCAACCGTCTCGCCCCACTGCCATCTCTACGGGTAATTATATCAACAAAACTTAAAAGGTTAACTCGTTGAAACATGACACATATCATCTGGCATGTTTTACCAGTCATCCATCTTTGTTGTACACGGGTAACCATATGTATCTTACCTTTATATAGTACTTAACAGCTACTATATACGCAAGTATAAAAGAAAGCTAACAACGTAGAATTCAGTGTCATTGTGTTCTTCACTTCTTTAGTATTACTCTACGTACTCACCGTAAGACAGCAAATTCTGAAGCTTCTTCTGCTTTTAACTGAGTGTGTATCAAGTTGTTTCTGGGTACAAATTGTGTAGATACCAGAAGAGAGCATCCAGGTTAGTTGTAGTCCTAAAGTACCAACAACATAATATGCATTACAAAGTATTCACTTGGCCACAGATGAAAAACAAAATAATCGAGCTTGTGGACTAATAAGAAACGGTTGACACCCAACCACCTAATAATATGAAGTGACACCCAACCACCTAATAATATGAACACAGGGAAGTTCTCAGCATTAAGAACAAAACCATGATAGCAAAATAACTAATTTAGGGTGTCAAATTTACGGGTTGGACTGATTTTGGACGAGTCAAAAATGGATGGGTCAATGACCCGCCCCAAAAGTAACTTGGACTATGTGGGTGAAAATTTGGGTCATAGCCCAACCCACCAAATTCTTACCAAGCTTTAATTAATGTATGTTGTTTTCTTGTGAATTGTTTAATCAGATGTGTTGAGACTTGAGAGGACTGGGTCAAAATTCAACAAATGGGCAGGTCATGTTTTTTTGAGCCAATTTTGACACCTCTAAACTAATTCAAGAAGACATAAATGGACTGCCTTGCTAGAAATCCCCTAAGCAGGTATAACACAAGCATTTTTCTTGTCAGAGCACCATTTATCGAACAGTTGCCTTGACAAACCACTTTGAGGACTACCTGGGCTTGCCATTAGCACACATGGTTTGTTGACTATAAATACTTCAATACTATTCAAGAGAAAAAATATGTTTGAAATTGAAGGGATTTGAGTTGACAAACTGATTGCGGATCCTTTCATTCATGGCATTGATGTAAGTCTGATAGACAGCCATACACCTTCTCGCAAGTGGAGAAGCATAATATATGGGGAAATTAGCAAGTTCAGGATGGCTAGACCAATATTCCTCCAAGATAAGGAGAAGTTCTTGTGCACGTCCCAAGGCGAAAGCAGGAATCAGCACCCGACCCCCTTGCATGAGTGTTGAGAAGCTTCTCTCTTATCTGACATGGCATATGGAGTTGAACACCATAAGTTGATTCTATAATGCAAATATCTGGAGAAACCTCCGGGGGTCTCAGCAGCACGGAGATGCCTGTCTTCTTCACGGGAGTAGTCTCCTGTATAGAGAACTCGAACACCAGCAATATCAACCATAAACATGGCAGCACCAAGAACATGACCGGCAGTATAACACCAAAAGCGAATGCCATTTACTTCCATAGTCTGATGGAAGTCGACAACCTACAGAACAAGTTTACACATGTCAAATAATCATAGCCATATATGTTGCTAAATCTTTTAAAAGAATGATAAGGTGATCCATTGATATGGTGGGAAAAACCCAGTACACAGGTGTTATGAATAATGTAACAAAGTGGTGAACCTACACAAAAACATGGTTCTCTACAATATTAAATTAAAAAACAAAAAACAATAACTATAAAACTGGTCTAACCAAAACATGAATTAGTGCCTATACTCTCTGACATTCATAAACTGCATGTGTTTCTCCCAGATTGCAGATGTCCAATGTGGCATGATGGCATATTCAAGGCACAACCTATCCTTTTTCTTAGTAAAAGCATTAAATTTTTTGTTAACCAGTAAGAAGATTAATTTTATTCATTTCAAGGAAACCAGAAGCTGCAACGAATACACATAAAGGTCAGAAACTCTCTTAGCTAAATGAAAAGCACAATCTATCATCAATTGCTTCTCTAAGAAACAGTTAATTCTAAGTTACATTTAACACTCTTCGGGACAATTAAACAAAAGGGAAACCAAAAGAGTCCAAAAGATTTAAATTTCCACTGCACAACCCCTTATAGTCAAAAGAGATCAAATAACACAATCAGAACCTTCCTTCTCGGTGAAGAAATAACATATTGCCTTGATTCCATATTCCAGTTCATAAGCCAAGGAAACTTTTTAGTGTTAATGTTTCCATCGCATCCCCGAATTAGCTATTATACTCTACTCCTCCCACCATCCCTTCCCACCACTAATACCTCACCTCCACCCCAACCCCGCCTCCACGCCACCTATTCCACCACAATTTAATACTTTAGCAAATTGGTTTTTATATTGATTCATTTAAACTTTCTTTTGATAATTGAGAAATTCTTGAGGTCAGTGGTGCACAGTTTGAAGCTAAGTGGATGATGGACCCACCCCCCTACTCTCCCACTTAAATACCAAGCTTTTGTCTGGAGCAGGTTTCGAACCTGTTGCTTCATTTGAACTTATTTTCATGTTAAAATGTTTAACTACATGAGAAAAGAGAAGAATTAGTGAAGAAAGCGTATAGGAAAGAGCTCCTCATATAGGAATCTAGGGTACATGAAATAAAGGGAAGTATCATAATTACTAGCAAGTATTTCTAACATTCTAGATGCTGACATAGGAAATGGTTCAACATAACCCTTTATAATTTGAATACAAGAAAATAACCCTGCAGAGATCTCTTGCGTTTTATTTATAGATCTCTTGTGTAAAAGTAAATATCTCTCGGCAGATTTGACATAAAAGTATAAAGAACACCAAACATAATGTGTTCTAAAATGACCTGAAGAGCATATACTTACCACGAATATACTTGTCTCAGGAGAGCTTTGGGAGTATATCTGCCGACTAAGTAAGCCAACAAAAATAATGAAGAGATACATTGAAACAGTATTTTCTTGCAGATGAGAATATTGGCTTAAAAGCAATATGCATTGCAATTTGACTATCTTAAATCAGCTTCATCTGCATCGCTGTCCTAAACTTCACCTCCTCTGCTAACTACTTTAACCACAAAAGCTAATATGAAATCAATGTACATCCTTATATTCAACCTCTACACTTGACTCAGTAACTATACCATACTTTTTTTAGGAAAAAGTTATTTGTTGAGAGATTAGTAACCATATCATACTTATTTTTTGAGAGATTAGTAACTATATCATACTGAAAAGGGGTTTCTCCCATTGCGACAGTTAATTGGTAAGGTAGGTTAAATCCCATAAAGACAGTTTTTTCCCTTTTTTGATACATACCTTAAAACATAATATCTGAAAGAAGATCTCCTGTTAGGTGAACATCCATCAATAACCAATAATCTATGCAGGTTCAGGCTCAACTCCTCGTTTTACGTTAGCATACCTACAGGTCGGTTCGGGGCTCTGTGACGCAATATTCCATATATAAGCAAGAAACTGAATCTTAGTATGTTCTCAATCTTCGTATACGAGTCCATGCACCACTAAAATGCACGTCCCAATAACTATTACGATGATCCTGTAGGAACTTACTATCCTAGTATCATCGAGACATATGATGAGAGATAATTTGGCTTATCAACAAAACCTCCTGCAGCATCCAAGATCTGTTAAATGCTCCCTTATCCTAGAAATAACTTAGCATTAGGTTCCATAATCTCAATCTCCTATAAAATATCACGGGCATGCTGCATATGTCAAATAGCCATAATTAAGTTGGAATGTGATACCTCTGTTCCATGAAAGTACTCAACAGAATGTGAAACCTTATACCAGAGTAGGTAAAAGATGTTTCTTCAGTGCATAAATGTCAGCATGATGACATGATAAAGGTAAGCAGTGTTCCCAAGCCAAAGTGTCATAGCAAACATAGCACCAACTGGGAAGACCGAACTAATGTATCTGCATATTGAAATCTTAATTAGGTGTACTGAATGAAAGTCTTCAAAACGTTATTGGACAAAAGCTGAGAAGAAGAAGAAAATAAGTGCAGTAACAAACTATTGTCTACAACTGTTGTATGCATTTGGAGGATAAATGCAAAAGATATGATAAAATTGAGATAATCTTCACCTTCAAGTAAGTTTCTACGTTATACTAATAGGTGAGGAAGAAAGATTAATGTTAATTTTTTCTTTATCTTGTTCATAAACGCTTCATTATTGATAAAGATGTGGTGCAACCCATTTTAGTAAGATTCCGAACTAATCCATTTTATGCCAAATTAGATATCTGAGAGTTATTTTTAAGAGATACCTCATTTTTATCATTAATTATCTCCTCAGATTCAAATATCTCCTCTCCTTCTGAGTCCTCCATCTCTTCGCACTCAAACTCTACATCTTCTCCTATTTCTTCCTCTGAGTCACTTAACTCTTCCTGCTCCATCACAATTTCTGCAAGAGACTGGTCTGGCATATAATCAACGTCATTTCCATTTTCTTCGTCGCTGGATAAAATCATTGCAGTAGCACCTGAATCATGGTGCTGCATGGTTATATTTGGAGTTCTATTGATGTGATGATTTTGATCTCCAGAATCTGAAGCACTAGTTAGTGATCTTCCCATATAATGGTCAGTGTCTCCTCTGCTTCCCATGGCTTTCTGCTTTCTGGACGTGAAACTCAAGTGCATCTCCAAGTCAACCTCATTGCTTTTTCCCACAGGGCTAGAGGGTATAGAACAGGCAGCGTTTGAACTACTATCGACAGCATTCTGAACTTGAGCGCACCTTCCTCTTGATGACTCTGAGATACATGAGGTTCGTGCAGCAGAGGATGCAGCTTCCAAGTCACAATTTGCATCATCAGTTCTTTGCAGAAGTGGATGAAAGTCAAAACCAGATGATATTGAAGTTTTGTCCCTGAGCTTAGAAGACTTGTCAAGAAAGTTAACAGTATGGGCTAATTGGCGTGGATGATGAAAGAGGCTAAGATTTAGTTGAGGTTGACAACCCGAAAAGAAATTGAACGAACTGGATGTACTTAAACTAGAGTTAGACTGATAATATGGCAAAGGGCCATCTTCAGGGGCCCGGAAGAGCAAAGGATGCATCTGTAGACCTGACTCATCTTTTCCTTCGGTAACATTCTTATTATCCTTTGACACACTGGTTTCCTGTAGATTCTGATTACTTATAGTGTTCCTCCCAGCACTACTGCTAAACGGTCCATCTTTCACAAAATAATTCTTTGCAGCACTTGCAATTTTTGGGACTGTGTTGTCTCTCACAGTATCACCCGTACAAGCATCCCCACCAAAAGCCCCTGGATACATTCCACCGTGATAGCTTTTAAAAGCCGACTGAGATATTACTCGAACAGATGGTGGAAGATTAACAGGAGGCAGGCCCGGAGCTAATTTGACCAATTGTCCATTGTTAAATTTACGGGCTCGGTATGGCCTTGAAAAGGACTCGGTTTCTGAGGCCCTTCAAGTCAGATGAGAAGCATAGTGAGTCATCACAATGGAAAATTCAGAATGTCTGCCATCTTGAGAACACAAACACAAAAATAAAGGAGTGAAAAAGAATATAAAGATGCAATGTGTACCTCAGAGAAACAGGGAACTCGTTAGAGATGTGCGATTGCCCATTTCCAGAACGACGGCTATTCATCTCTTCAGCAACTAGAGAACTCTCATCTCCCAATAGCTGAGCAGGAGGAATTTTCTTTGTCAGATCTGACATAGAATGATTCACTTGGATGCTGGATACAGCAGGCCTCCAATCTGCCAAAAAGGCCTCATGAACATAAGCTTCCTCATCTCTTTCTGTACAATTATCTGCACCACTATTTTCTGCTACAGCATAGTCAGCAATATTATCCTGCATATTTTTCATGAGCAAGGGCATTATAGTTTATATACAACTGTACCCAGTGGATGCATGTAGAAACAGAAATTAAAATTAAAGAGCCTTCTCAAAAGTTTAGGGAGCCAACAAAATCAGTTCATCATTCAATGAATCAACTATGCCTCAATCACAAACTAGTTGGGGTTGTACTATCTATTCCACTTTATTCGGGACATTTTATTTGAATACTAATTAATAATTTGACTTTTAAGAAAATTAGAAGTTTTCTAAAACTAGAGATCCTCTAAATCTCACATATAACATCTATGTCATCTATAGAAATAAAATTACGTAAGATATCCAACAGTTGTAAACAAGAAAATTTCAAATGGTACTAATTTTTGTTTTCACTCAAATATTTGTGGTCTGCTCCCACCAGATAACCCACAGAACAAAAGAGGTCTCATGTTCCAAACACTACACTAATACTTATTAGCCACAGCACAATATAAAACAAATGATTTATATTTGAGTTTCCTCCTAACACATGTAACAGTTGCCGCATATGGTATAAAGCCTCTTCGGCTTCTTTTTTTTACTAACCTGTTCTGCTTAAATTGTCCTAAGTTAGACATGCCTCATGAACTACTATCCAACCAAAACATGAAACTTCGGGTAGACCTCTAGTTTTGCGACAGTTTCCGTCGCCAAGGGCGTCTACTGTCTGCATAACTGGATAGGGAGTCATAAGTACCTTACACAGAGAACATATGTTTACTGTCAAATTTCGATCACAGAGAATTATTTTCCCCCAGAAACCGTTCCTTTCCCTTCAATCTAGAGTTAACCTAGTTGAACTGTCTACCGAGAGCCTCCTGATCCTGGCAATTTCTTCAAATTTTAGTGTCCTATACTCTACTGTTCATGTTTTGAGCAATCATTGACTCGGGACAACCTATAAAACTAAAACGATCTGGAAATTCCAGCCTTACCTCCCTTTCGGAAGAAATATGCCATGTTTCCAAAGCAGCAGCTTTTGATTTTCTTCTCTCTTCATATAACCGACGTTTTGCCTTCTTACTAGCATCAGATTTATATGATTTCTGAGTTCCAATAGCAGTGCGCCACTGCCGGGGTAACAAGGAAGGATCTCTATAAGGAACAATAAACTTCCACACTGACATCCAGTCAAGCTTGAACACCTTCAGACCCTGCATGATCATGACTATGTAAATAGTGAAGCAGCGACAAATGGAGATGGTGATGCTACGGAAATGTAAGTTGCAGTGTAAACTTACCTCTTCAATACGTGCAACCTCTTCTGCTGTCAAGGGAGAGTTTTTCATCCTCCGAACAGCCTACAAGATTCATTACAGCATTATTTACCACAATCAATGACCACAACAATCATAAAACACACCATGATCAAAAAACTATCAATCAAAACAAAATAAATGGCATCTCTAGCAACATATATATTTTTTGATAAGGTAAATAATTTTATTAACAATTAGGGGGAACCTTGTATACAAGCCGTGTGCCAAAAAGAAGAGAACCTACACAAATATATGGTTCTCAACAAAGAGGCCCAATCCTCTATACAAGTGGGGACCTCATGAGTGCGCCAAAAAAGAAACTAGAAACAAAAGGCAACTTTGCAATTTTACAAACTCAAGTTCCACCCCTTCAAAGGTAGAGGGCGGCCTAAGAAGTATTGGGGTGAGGTGATCAGGCAGGACATGGCGCGACTTCAGATTTCTGAGGACATGGCTCTAGATGGGAAGGTGTGGAGGTCAAGCATTAGGGTTGATGGTTAGGAGGGAGTCGAGCGTTTTTCTTCCTTCGTATCGGAGGTGGGGATAGCATGTTAGGGTGTTGTCTTGGATTATTAGTGGTGTAAGTTTGTGTCTACACTATTTCTCCGTCTTTTTCATAGTACGGTGGCTCTATTACTGGTTGTTGTTATTGCTTTTCCATCTAGTTTCTATTCCCTAAGATGCTTATATTATCTTTCTAATTTTTGTTGTTGTCACAGATTCTATTGTCTATTTTCGTCTTCTTGAGCTGAGGATCTCTCGGAAACAGCCTCTCTACCCCTTCGGGGTAGGGGTAAGGTTTGCGTACATTCTACCCTCCCCAGACCCCACTCGTGGGATTCTACTGGGTTGTTGTTGTTGTTGTAAGTTCCACCCCTTCAAAAGCCCTCTTATTTCTCTCTTTCCAAATAACCCACATGATTGCTAAGAGAGCAACCCTCCAAGCCTTTGGACGTCTCTTCCCCCTCATGTGAGCCCAACTATGCAACGCCTCCTTCATTGTGCCCGGCGTCACCCATCACACCCCAAACAAATTAAGGACCACATATCTTGGAAAATACTAACTGCAAAAAAAAGGTCATGATTCATGGATGAATTGTGATTGTGAGTTGTACTTTTATTAGGCGAATTGAGAAAGTCATTTTAGGGTTAAAAAAATCTTAGAACAGTTGAAGGGGTGGTAGGAGATGGCTTAAACATGCCCAGCATGTCCCAATTGATAGAATGAATAGATTGCTAAAGCAGTTTTGCAGGCACTTTTCGGGAGAGGCAGTTAAAATGGGGCCATAGCGTTAATACTATGATTGTTTATTAATGTTAGTACACCAGTAACAAACCTTTATTGGATTTTCAGGTGCTTTAGATGATGAGCGATTCTTCTGCCTGACAAAAATCTGCAAAAAGGGTCAAGTACTTCCTCACGTTAAGCACAATTAAACTTTTAAGAAGACAATGAAATCGAGAGGATAAATGACTGACAACACTGTTGCTGTAACTGGAAGTGAACATAAGAATCACCTGATGCTTAGATTTGCAAGGAAGATAGCGCTGCTGAATTGCCCTCCAGTCTGTATTATACTCCATCAAACCCAATGCTAATAATCTGCACCAGATGCCAAGGTAATATTACTAAACTTATCAGTAATCGTAAAAGCGAATATGGGAAAAAATGAAGATCATCCATGATATTAAAACCTTAAGAACCTAGTAGGGAATTGATGAAATTGCCTTAGGAAGTGGAGGATGAATGATACATGGTATTTAACCAAAGCACAATGACTAAAACTGCTTAGGCTCTCACAGATATAGTTGATTAGCTTCATTCAATTGTTTTCGTACAATAGATGCAACAAAATTCTTTTCCGCTTTATGATAACACCTAATTTTGTATCACACTGAGAAATAAATTGTACTAAAAGAGATCGTTTATTTAGGGAAATTTCAGAATCCATTAAATTTTTGTAAGATGTGAATTCCAACATTCCTAACTTTGCAACTCTAAAATCTAACTAAATTCAGTACTTTCTCAGTTCTTCCTATAGCAAGGTTTTAGTTCACAACCTATCACCATAGCAGAGAATGACCACTGTGGAGAAGGTGAGCAATACCAACTAATTAAAGCAAGAAGCATCAAATGCCCCGAAGCAAGGCCAATGTTGCCTCAATTTTACAATCACGGCCTAAGCAGTAAAGCGACTCATTTCATAAAAACCCTGATACTGCTACTGCACGAAAAGTAAAAGAAGACATAAAACTCACTCATCCTCTGCATCAGTAAAAAGCACCCGGTTTGCTACCGCTGCAGGGGGTGGCTTATGGGGATACAGGGCAGGATTAAACAAAGGATAGAAGCGCTGGGCTAACTTAGCAATCTCCTTTGGAACAGGAGCAGCTGCCTGTTTTTTAGCTTTTTCTACTAATACAGCAGCCATAGTCTTCTTTGATGTTGGAAAACTTGATGGAGGAGGAGGCACAATGTTTGAATACAAGGAAGCCTGACCATCAGGTTCAGCAGTAAAATGAACACTTGGCACAGGAAACAAGGGTTCCTTCTCGGAGCAGATATCATCCATACCTCCTAGTTGCCGATGTTGGTAATCTTGCATAGCTGTCAATAAACATCACCCGTGATGAAGTAAATAAAGTATCATAAACTGAACAACCATAAGAAAACTAAATGAATTTGGTGTTCTAACATGATATACCATGAGAAACGTCATCCATGAAGTCCTTAACTAATTTGATTGGAGCCACATCAAGAACAGATAGTATTGGACCACTTATATAAGGTACCCAGGAGCCTACAGGGCATCCCACTTGACTAATAGCATCATGTCTTCCTCTTGAAGGAGAAATTCCATCAAAAGGCTGCACCATGTTAAGTCCAGATGAGCAGTCTCCCTGCAAAACATGTGCTGAAGACATTTTGTTGGTGATTTGGGCAGGCGAAGTCTTCGAAGGTTCATCAGACACTGAGGGATGAACATATGGGGAGAAGAAGCAAAAACTGGGATATGGCACACTTCTACTTGCTAACACTTCATCACGTTTATGAAGCATTTGTGATATCAATTCCCGAACATCAGAAGCAATGTGCCGTCTGGCCGGCTCAAGAACACAAACGGCAAAAACCTGAATAAGAAGTTGAACATGCTCATGTATCAAACAATGTAATTGTCCTATCTGATGGGCTGTAAATCCATTCATACAGCCATCATTTGCAGCCGACAGATTGGGTGAAGCTAGAGAACATCTTGGCAACATCATGCTTTTTGCACCATGTCCAGAGTAAGGAGAAATGGGCAGATATGGTAACAAAGGGCGTAGTGGCCTATTTGATAGTCCTAAAACCTTCTTCTTGTTCTCAACAGAAGCTCTTTGGCACCTAATTTGCCTAGTCTTAGGTCTTCGACTAACAGCCTCGTACTCCTCTTCAGCATCATCCTTCACATGTTCATCAATGTCACTCTCCAATGCCTCCTCAATTTCAAGCTCAAAATCTGCATCGTTGTCTTCATCTTCATCATCAGCATTTTCATTCTCTTGTACATTTCCAGAATTTCCATCTCCACCCAGTAAAACAGCTGCAAGAAACTTCCTGTACTCTTCATCGTCAGCATTCTGAAGATCATCCTCATCATCTGTTTCTTGAAGAAATGTCTCGAGTTCATCAAGTGTACGGCTAGCAAGTGAGTACCGCGCTCTAGTGCGCTTACATATGGCATCTTCATTATCCATATCTATGATGGATCTCCTTGAATTTGCAACATTGTTACACTCTCCAACTGAAAGATCTTCAATGCCCTCTCCCCCTCCACTAAATACAGTCCTCTTGTTATTTGAAATTCCACTTTCAGGTTCAGTATCCAAAACAGATTCTTTCTCCTTGAGTTCAGAAGAAGAGATTTTCTTCACGTCTTCTGGACAAGCTCCAGAAGAAGCTCTATTTTGCATCACAGTTTCCTCACCAAGTTCTTTGTCTCCAATGAGACAGTCCTGTCGCAAACCTGGCATTCTTTCTTTGCAATAAGCTTTCCATGATTCAGCAATGTTCTCCACATTGTCAACAACATCAGCATCCAAACCCTCGATTTCTGAGCTCAGGCTTGAAGAAGCATCAGGAGAAACAGCTTCTTTTAACAAAGGATTAAAGTCCACATCCTCTTCCTCATCTTCGTCATACTCAATCTCATCGCCATCCCTGTTACAACCACCATCATGGTGTTCGTTCTTTTGTTCATCAGCCTCTTGTTCTAGAGGACTTCCATTGTTGGATAAGTTGCTGCGTACCAAGAGCACATTCTCCTGATGGGACTCTTTATCTTCATTAGATAATGCAGTTGAACTCAAAGACAAAGACATCTTCAGCACAGAATTTGAAAAGGCTGATGCCTATGAATACTGACAAACACTTAGCACTCAACTGTATCCTCAAAAATGACTAAATATTTGCCTCTTCGTACTAGATGCTCCTCCATCACAACCTGCAAAATTTCAAAAAGCAAGGTTGGTCAGAAGCACTGAAAAAGGCTAAATATCACTCACATTCACTGCTAGTACCAGGTTACCTAAATCAGAAATATCAAGTAGAATAGATAAGAACGACAACATAGTTGAACAGGGAAAGCAAAGGAAAACCAATACTCACAATCCCAACCAAATCCAACGCAAGCATAAAGTAGCGATAATTCCAGTTTATTCAGAACTAAACAAGGACCAAACAACATCTGGGTCCAAACACTAAGAAACTTAGATGTTGTAAGCATAGTATGAACAGGGAAAGAAAAGGAAAACCTAAACTCACAATCCCAACCAAATCCCACGCAAGCATAAAATGGTGACAATTTGCAGTTTATTCAGAAATAAACAAGGATCAAACAACATCTGCGCCCAAAGATCAAGAAACTCAGACGAACAACAGAGCAACTCAAAAGTCGGCTGGTACACATACTCGTTATGCGGGGATTATAATATAGCGATTTTTTGCGCAGTGATTAATAATGAAGGGATTGTTATGTGATGATTAATTATAAAGGGATTGTCATACATGAATTAGTTTCTCTAAAAGGGCATTTTTATCTTTAAAAGGTTCAATCTCCGCGCTTTATCCCGCATATACAAAAAATAGATTCCCGTATAACTTAATACCGGCATTATTTAATATCGCAAATCGAATGCTATGTGATTTTTTCTTTTTGTGGCCGACCAAACTTTGTATTAGCTTATACACGCTGGGATTAATTTGCTCAAATACCACAATCGAACACCCGTTTTAATTTAGTAAGAGCTTTGAGAAATCAGCAAGTAGTTGACGTAACTTTGATTCTTATTCAGCATGCAATACCGGAACGTGTTCAAGTCTGTAGAATAGGATTGAGGCATAGTTGATTGATCTGTTTGATCGATCAGCTGAAAGACCTGAGTTTTTGACCCCGTTCATGTGTTATCGAACTGGAATTCTCCTTAGACCAAATTACTTCTACTAATAAATTAAAAATTCTTAGTCACAGACGGGATTGAAATGATAGGGGCGATTGTTCACATGTGACATACTAGAAAACAAGTTGAGTTTTAGACTTCCATATAATTTCACGGTGAACATAAAAAAAGGTAGTAACTTTTTTCAATCTTTTCGAAATAAAATCAAACAGGAGTGGAAATTCAATACAATGGAGATAGATATTTACATCGTCATGTAATTTCGACCTGAAGTGTACTCATTTCTTCTATATTCGAAATTCAATAATTGAACTAACAATTGAACAATTGTTTCAGAAACAGTAAAACTGTGGTTCGTAGAAAAGCTCCACCAGTTTCAAAGACTGATTAAACCACTTTAATTAGTCGAGTATTGTTTCTTCTAGTGCTAATGTGTACTGTGACGTCTCCAATTCAGGTAAGTTATGGGTACACAGAATATGAACTAGAATACCTAATTGGCCGTAGAAAGGGTTCAACAATGGCCGATTAACACAGATCGGAGGAAGGGTTTTGCATTTTGGAATTTCGGGTGGAGCGGGAGACCCGGGCGGCCCGGTTTTGGGGTAGGTACCGTGAAGGACAGCCCGGAATTTGGCAGGCGATGTTTGATTATTCGGGTCCAACTACAGAATTACAAAGGTACTAAGGATTCATTTGTTTTTATTAAAACTAGTTTCTCGACATGTGCGTTGCACATGAACTACTTACTTTTTCATTAAATAAGCCATTCACCTAGGTTTTCATCTCCTATGATGATGGGCATGACTCCTACCATATTAATAAACTAAAGATACAAGGAGGGGGACACAAAACCTAATCTTCAAAGAAAAGTTACAAAAGAAGACACTAACGGAAAGCAATGAGAATTTCCCATTTCAGTTCATGTTCAGCAAAAAGGTTCACTAAACATATGATTATTTCAATTATAAAATCCTCATTTGTTCATTGACCTTAGCAAATCCCTTCTTTTCAGTCCATATCCTATAGTTTTCAAGCGTGCTTTTCGCATTTGTATGCTCCTCTTACCATTCCGGGGAGTTGTTCAAACTTAAAATAGACTCTTGAGGTGTTTGTGATTTATCCAGCTTTAGCAAGCCTGCCAGTATATTAGCTTCTCTATAGCAATGAGTGGATTCCCTATAATGAAGAAGGCTTTCTTCCTTTAATTGGTACTAATAGTTCCAACTTTTGTTATACATTTACCGAAATTCAACATGCTCTAAATGACTAAGACAACTTTAAAATCTTTATGGGACATTTAAAAATATATCAACTTGGAATTTTGGAAAGTATCTAAGAAGATGAATTTAACAAAGTGCGAAAGAATTCCAACTCAAATAGTCCATTGGTATATCATATCCTAAATAAAGACAAACTAATGAACCTTCAAGAATTCCAAGAGTTATTAGGAAAATTCAGCACTCGGGCATTTTTAAGGATCACCAATCAGAATAACCATACAACCATTTTCAAACAAAAGAGGTTTAGGGACCAATACTACTATTTTTTGAAAGATTTATTTTAATCTATTGGAGAGTGTGTAATATCATTCACATCAAACTAAAGACAACAGAGAGAAGGTAAACACAATCCACAATGTAGAGTTACATAAAAATCGTGAACATAATCCTCAAAGATATGAATTATTGTAAATAATTAATGCTTCAAAATCACACGAGTTATAATATCTCTAGTCGGTTACAAAATAAAGTGCGAATTCAGCTAACCAACATAAGAAACTCAAACCCAAATCTTGTTATAATTATTCAATCCCCTTCTCTTATTGTAACCTTGCTCTAACCCAAAAGGTATGTGACAAACAATATGTTATTCTTGATATTGATATCGTTTCATCTTGTGGGTATTTCATGTTCTGCTAGAAAATCTTTTTTCTTGGATGTTTTAACATATTAAAACCTCGAATAAAAAGCAAAGGGAACTATTTCCAACTATAAATTTACGACAATTTAAACCAATTTACAAATAAATACATCCGAAACTGATCAGTGTTGTTGCACTTGGATAAATCTGTAATGCAAGAATTGTCTTTTGTCCCACCGAAATCTTATTTTAACCCCAAGTCCTTTTTCTTCTCCATGAACACACCACACTGACCATTAAAATCATAAATAAAAGAATGGGTTATGAAGATTATGAAGCACATGTCCAAGTTATATTGACAAATTGCAGCAATAACCATATTAAAACAAAGCAAAAGAGAAACATAGAAAAGTAACGGCAAAAGCCGTGAAAACTAAAACTGAATTAGATGCTAGTCATCTCAAAATTCTCAAACAACATATCTCAGTTTAAAAATTTGCAGAAAACGATTAAGGTATTCACATAATAAATCAGTATAAAATTGACAACCAACTTACAAGGATATCGCCTGTTGCTTTAGCAGAGTGAGGGAAATTGGCATGGGATTTCTGATTTTAAAGAAAGGGAAAGCAATCGGTGACACTGCTTGCCGAGGACCGCAAGGAGAAAGGGCGACAGGTTTATTTTGTTTTCAAACAAATATATAGCGAAGGGGTAATTTACATTATCTACGAAAGAGTAATGTTTTAGTAAAGGATAATTTCGTAATTTGACTTTTCACTTAAAAGTTTCTTGCTTTTAATAACGTATAAAAGTTTCTCGCAACACGTGTATGTAGTATGTTGACTCATGTAAAACATGATTTTATAAATAATATCAATGTTATTAAAATGAAACTTTGAATAAATAATTATACAAGAATAAATAAAGTATAAGTTACTACAAGTTATCAATATGAATCGTCGTATAAGGGGACTTGTGTTGTAAAAAACTCGATTAGGTTTGGTTTGATTTGGTTTGGTAGTGAGTAAAAAATTCGAACCAAACTGACATATTATAAATATGTAATTTTATATATACTGTTAAGACTTTTTATAGAATTTTCTATAAAAAAAAATATCTAGAAATATTTAGAATCCTCTTATGGGATGTAGTATTTAATAGACTATGAAGTGCATTCATTTTTATTTACCTTAAATAATGAGTTGTATCACTTTCTTATCAAGTGCTATTGAAATGCGTCAATCAACTGTTTGTTCTTCTATATTCATATGTCAATATTTCTTATATCTTTTTCGAATTTGAAATGATATTTCGATAATTTAAAATTAAATAAAACATATCGTTATTTAGGTATCATAGTGATTTTATGTTTAATTATAAAATTCAATTAACCTTGGAAGCGTACAACAATGAAAAATTATTGTTAGACAACTAAAAGAAAATAACTATCATGTGTTACTAAAAAAGTCTCCCATAAGAATATTTTAATAGATCATATGCTTGTCAATATTTTTAATTTTTGCTAAACATATATTCACTTACCAAAACAGACGCAAAATCCAATATGGCATCATCAGCAACGGGAGAAGATTCAACTTGAGCAGAAGAAGCTTGAATACCAACTTCACCAGGAGTAAGCTCATCACCTTTGGGAACTCCGACTTCAGGTGAGGAAAAGCTCTGACTTTTCTGAGTGTTCTCAATTGTTTCCTTAGCCTTGGCGATCTCAGCATTCAAGTCAAAGCCTTCCTGGCTAGCATCCATCAAAGTCTCGAGGCGGGTATTCAAAAAATCCTAACTTACATCACGTGTCGATTTATCTTCAAGGGCTTCGTAATCTTTCTCCCACTGATCAATTTCAGCCTTCAACTCTTCTTTCTCAATCGAAGAAGCATCATAAGAAACCTTCAAAGGGGCGAGGGAACTCTCCAAAAACTGGATCTTATCAGAAGAGACACGGAGGTCTTCTTGAACCTGAGTGAGTGTTTGAACTAGCTCCCCAGCATAAGTCTCCTTCTGATTAAGGAGTTCTTTCAAACCCCTTATCTCCTCGGTAGCTTTAAAAAGTTGCTCTGCAAATGAAGACTCAAGGATGTCTTTGTCTCTGCCAACTTGACTTGAAGAGGCTTTTTCAACTGCCAATTCCACCGCCATCATCCTTGCTTGTTGTTCCAAAGCACACTTCTCTTCAGCTAAAACTTCTTTCTCCAATTGAAGACCCCCGTATTGTTCCTTCCAGTTATCCGCTTCAATACGATAATCATTGACTAGTTGCTCAGTGTTAACAATTCTCTTCATAAGCTCCGTGCCTATCAAGTTAATCTACAAAAGAAAAGAAAGAAGCGATTGTCAAACAAAAGTAAACGATCACGAGGAAAAGAAAGGAAAAAGATGAGACTTGAACCTTCAAAGATGAATGAAAAATATCATTCATCCATGTCAAGGAGCTGTGGCTTTCCAACTTTGACTTCTCAACTGGGCCAAGTAAAGGATTCAACCATACGTCGGCTTGACCAGATTTTTTCAACAGATTACCACCTTCAGGGACTTCTATGGTAACCTTTTTCATCACCCTATTGCTACTAGAAGTACCAACTTTAACATGAGAAGTAGTAGCAACAAGGATAATTGAGGAAGTGAAAGCAGCCACAGAAGGAGCAGTAGCAGCAGCAACAAGAACGGTAGATTGAGAATGAATGGGGAGTGACGTTGGAAGAGAAGCAAGGGGTAATTCTTCAGAAACGGGACCAAAGTCTTCACTATCAAAACCACAGGAAAATAGCTGATCAGTAGAGTCACGAGGGGGAGCATTTATCTCACCATCAGAACTCACTAAAGTAGCATCTTCAGGCTCGTTCAACGGAACTGGACTTGGGGGAGGGGTGGCTTCATCATCTAAAATAACGCGCATCCTAACTCGAGGTCTACTAACTAAACAACCTTCCTCTAGTTCTTCTTCTCCCTCTAAGTCACGGGCTCCATCAACCTTCCTCTTTGAAGAAGAGCTCAGAATCCTTTCTTCAACAAGACTCACCGTAAGCCTTGCAGATGAAACAGAAGCGGGACTAACACCACGAATGGAAATCCTAACAAATGAAATGAGTCACGGTGAGAAACTCTTAAGTTAGCAAAAGGAAAGAAAAGGAGAAGAAGACTAAGTGGGAAAAAGTACCATGTGTCTTAACTTTCCACCCAAACCTTTGTGAGAGATACTTCCAAGATCTTCTCTCCATAGGAGCAACAAATAATAACTTTCCTACCCAAGCACGAAAGTCAGGGATCTCCTAAAAAAACTTCCATAGTTGCTGAAAAAGTAGGCACGAGTATACATGAGAATAATCTTTGATGAAGGAAAAAAGATAAAAATGCAAGTACTTATGTGCAAAATTCTATTTTTCTGGAAAAGGCATGTTTTCTTCACCCACCAAAGCATTAGTGGGAGCAGCAACAAAGTGAGCATACCAGCCTCGATCTCTATCATCTTCAGGGTTAACTAATACTCTCTTACTTTTGGCCGCAAGGGAAAAAACTCCATCACGAAATAGTTTGGGAGAGTAAAGATGGAGTAGGTGAAGAAAAGTAAAAGGCATAGAAGCCAAGTTTGATAAATAACGGAGGCATGCAACAGCTCTCCAAACAATAGGACCAATTTGTCCTAAATACACATTGAAGTAACGACAGAACTCAATGATTACCGGGTCAATAGGAGGTTTAAAACCTAGGGTAAAGGACATGTATAAACGAAGGAATAGCCAGTTTGGTATGAAGTTATTCTTTGGTTAGAACCAGGGACTAAAATTGGGAAGTCGGGTTTCCAATTACATTCTCTTCGAACCACAGCGAGAAGACCAGTGGTAATCAAAGTTGGGTAATGATCACCGCGGTCAAGGGAAGCAGCCTTGGAAGAGAGTTGACTCTTCATGGATTCACTATCAGTCACAAAGGATAGTTCTTGAGGAACAAATTCATTAATAGTGGGTTCACGAAGGGCTTCGGTTGAATCTTTATCTTTAGAAGACGATCTTGGGGTTGCAGAAGCCTAGGTCTAGAAGAAGATGGATTGGCAGCACTACCTTGAGAGGGGGAACCACGGTTAGAAATAGAACCGAGGCTATGTAATTTGCCACCTCTTCTACTCCTAACAGGGGCAGTTGAAGGGAGAAGTTCATCAACAATTACTACTTTGCGAGGATCCGAATTTGACGAAGACATGGTTGTATAAGGAACTAATAAAGTAATATGTGTTGAAGGATAAGAACGAGTAAAGAAGAAGAACACTGTAGGGTGAAGGTTTCGTGAAAATAAAGGTACATGAGGTACTTATAAGAAGAAACAACCGTCATATAAAGTAAGTAATGATGGAACGTCATAATGAATCAGTCACTTCGTGACTGACGCAGCCGCAAGAAAGCCCTAAAACAACGCTAAGGAGTCACAGACCTAATCATCAAAGGCCACGTGGCACATGCATTAAATGGAAGTAACATACGACACGCCGGTTCTGAAGAAAACGCAATGATGCTTGGGAAACAGCGGCAAAGAATTCCCTCCATAAATATATACCACTTCCAAAATATTCAGTTGCAGAATATTCGGCAAGTGGGGGGACTATCTGTATTGGTAAAAAATAAATAATACACGTGGAATTACATTTGGCAAATAGGACATGATACGTGAAACAATGAGAAGAAGACAAATGGAATATCATAATATAAAAGATGAATGAGTTACAAAAGGTATGAGCAAAGCCTAAATAAGTCAATGAAGAGACACGGGCGGGATGAATCAAGACTGTAAAAAGGAAAGATTCATGAACCTTCAATTAATGAGGAGGGGGAATCCGAATCGTTATAGAATCCTCGTGAACAGTTACGATTACCAATTATAACGGATCATTAATACCATTAAGCTCATAATGATTTAGCCATAAATGGAAGGAAACGTTATATTTGTAAACATCTATATAAGAGGAGAGAATTTCACTTGTAAGCACATCTGGAACAATATTGAGATATACACTTTACATTTTTGCTTTCTCGAAATCTTCTACTCTAACCTTGCAATCAATTATTTTCTTAGTTATTCTTATTTTTTTTCCTTTGATATCTTTGAGAAAGTGAAGCTAAACTTGGTTATTAGTAACCCGTGTTCTTCTAAAATTAGATTTTGACCAAAAGACATATTTTTGGTTAAACAGCATAGACGACGAGAAACTAAAGTTGTGCAAAGTAACGTTATTGTCAAGTTAATTACAAAGTAATGAGATGGAGAAAATGCCATGTAATGTAAGGAGCAAATTATTTGCAAAAGATGAAGAAGAAAGGCAATATGCATACCCTACTTCAATTTCTTTATCACTCAAACAACAAAAACTTTGCTTCGTTTTTGGCATAGGCTGCCTAAGTAGTGTCTTTGCCTTTTGCCTTTACATATAGCAGCAAATTGGTTCAGGCTTACTTATCTCTAACTTTTTAGCATTTGCAAATGCCATTTTATAAGTATTTATTGTTTGATCATAAATAATATTTCAATCTTTATAAATACTGAAATTTAATATTTATAAATACTGGTTAAAAATTTTGAGAACTTATTTGAGAAGTATTATGTAAAAGTAATGGTTTTTGCTATTTTGTATTGAACTTTATTTCCAAGTAAAGTTCATGTGTAAACATAATTTGATGACTTTCAAATACTTGTTTTTATTTATTTCAACCGAATATTGTCCAAATGCATGCGCATTTCAATCAAGCACACTCTGTTTTCTCACCTAACCCTCTCTTCGTCGATTTCTCAAGATCTTAAACCCGACATCAGAGTCCTAGACAAGAGACTAATAAGACTTGAACAAAAACGGTTTAATACTTTCAGTTTTGACATCTATGACTGAAAAATAAGAACTAGTTGTTCCAAAAGAAACTACCATTTGTTCTGAGAGGGGATCGATTTTTTCTCATAGCTCCTGCATAACATCTACTTCCTTCATCTTGTGGTTCTATTCAATTTATATTTGTTATGATGAAAGACAAAAAAGTAGAAACAATCAAATGTTTAAACGGTTTGTGTAATTTTCTCTTAGGAGATTTTCTGAGGAACTTATAAGGAGCATGTTTTTAAAGGAATCAAATAAAAGGAAGTTAGTCATGTACCCATCAGTGCCACAGATTAGCAAGTTCATCTGGGGCTTTTGTATCTATACCCGGGATCATGATTGAACCTAAACTCAGCCTATCCACTTTACGATCTACTTCAAACTTATCGAGTCTGAAGTGAAAAAATTTCACTTCAAATACACTTAAGGCCAAATAGGATAAATTACACTTCAAATACACTTAAGGCCCAATAGGTCTGAAGTGAAACCAAATGGTTTCATGCACTTAAGGCCAATGTATCTGAAGTGAAAAATTGCACTTCAGATACACTTTAAGGCCAAAAGGTCTGAAATGCAACAAATGTTTTCCTTTACTTAAGGCCAATAAGTCTGAAGTAAAAAAATTACAATTCAGATACACTTAGGCCAAAAAGTCTGAAGTGCAATAAACGTTTTCCTTCACTTCAACAGACGTTTTCCTTCACTTAAGACCAATAAGTCTAAAGTGAAAAATTGCAATTCAAATGCACTTTAGGCCAAAAGGTCTGAAGTGTAACAAATGTTTTCCTAAACTTAAGGCCAATAAGTCTGAAATAAAAAAGTACACTTTAGATGCTTAAGGCTAAAAGGTTTGAAGGGCAACCAACGTTTTCATGCACTTAAGGCCAAATAGGGCTAAAGTGCAAATTGCCCAGAAACAGTAATATCTTCTTTGAATTATAATAATTCAATATACGATTTAATACCTAAATCTACTTCAAATGAACTCAAATTTGGAACATAACCTACAAATATCATCAAGAACAAACCTCAATCATCAATTTGTCAAAACAACAATAAATCTAACAAACCCATTTTGCAATTAAGAAAAAAGAAAGAAGAAGAAGAAGAAACCTAATCAATAGTAAAAAATAAAGCGTCACAATAGCTCACTACTGTAAAACATCATAAACTCCCTTAAAATATGTTCACAAACACCATATAAAATTACTATCACCCGAAGAAGAAGAAGAAGAAGAAAGAGGAGAAAAAAGCCTGAAGTTTTTTAAAAAGTGAGTACAAGTTAAAACTTTTTTAAAAAGTGGGTACAAGTTAAATTGGGACGAATAAGGCGCCCGTGCAACTTGTCCAGCTCAGGGCGAATAGGACGCCCGTGCAACTTTTCCAGTTCATCTCTGCAACAACATGGGCTCAATGAACGTCTGGGTGACAATACCTACATCCTAAAGCAAATTCCCAACATCCATACTAATACCTAAACTCTTAAGCTATCACACTTCTTTTCTTGTAATATACTTCTGACTACCATACTAACCAAAATAGAGAAACGGTTATAAAGCTACTTGCACAACACACTTATAATTATCCTGCTATCAATAACAGATAAGCAGTTAATAGAGTATTTGCTTTTATAAGTTGCTTGAGTCACTTTAAAGAGCAACAGGAATTTGCTACCACAACAGCGCATCAGAAGGCACTTCTGACTTTGGAGCCAATAGCTAGGGCATCAAGCAACTTCTTTTCATACAATTACTCGAAAATTGACCTCGCTATATAAAGAGGTCAGAGCCATGACATCCATGGAGTATTAGACATTTAGACTCAAGGAAACCATGCTGAATTTACAAATAGCAAAAAGTAAATGAAAGTCCAAAATCAAGCTCGCGCGTCCAACATCATGCTCCTTGTCCACAAAGACACAACTGTTGAATTTCAACAGTTGATTTTACCAAAAAAATCAAACTTCTTCCACAATCCAGCTGACAAGAAATCATTTCCCCCTAAATAGAGAAAAAAAACAAATGAAGTGAGAAAAATAGCAGGATTGTCCTACCAGGGAGGAAGACGGATGGAATAAGAGGTTTCGTGGCAGCAGTACTAAAAGCTACTACTAGTATTTGTTAATTAACTATGCATCAGCAAAATAGGTATAGAAATGAATCAATAACATACGTGTTCATCATCAATGTGATATTATCTCCTTTCAGAAGAATCCGCCCTGCACAGGGAACAAAGACATTTAGAGACGAAAGGCACAGACAAGTATGTTTTTCCTTGTTATTCTTGGGGGAAATAAGGCTAGGCCTTAGGGTGAAATTTTTTTGTTACCCACCCAGCTGCTTTCTGCTTTTCTTCTTCACATTGACTTCCTCAGCATCATCTAGAACCAAATTCATGTACTCATCAAAGCCCTAAACAACAAAAACAAATTATGTCTCCGTCAACAAATCCAAGGCCAAGAAAAGATCTTGAGGCATAAGCAAAGTTTGCGGCAATAATAGTACTTCTAAATTCTCCCTAGTCCTCCGATGTTACAACTCTAGCCAAAAGCACACAGTGCAGGTGTCTCATGCAAAAGCAATAATTCAGGGGCATCCAGCAAAACTCATTTTTTAATCTGCTGGCAGAGAACATGTGCAAGCAACCTTCATCAAAACTAATTCACGCAACGACCTAGGAAATAATCAAATACTAATTCTAAGAGGGTTTAAGACAAAACATGCTTTTCTCCACCCTTTGGGCTACACTACCATAAAATTGAATTCAATCGACAAGGTTACAGCTCTTTAAACACAAGGCTATACAGTGTGGATATGTCTTTGTAGCGTTGCTTCAGAGAATTTCTTTTTGCCCTTTTAAACTACGGGGACTCCAGTCTATCCCAGATTCAAGTATAAGCTAGCATTGCCACAAAAAAAGAGAAAAACTAAAGTTGCTTGTCAATTACCTAGATGTCAATTACAAGCTTGCTACAGGAACGAAAGATATTATGACAACAATTACGCTAGATGCTTTGTACTATTTTTTTTTTTTTTTTGAGATGTAGATGCTTTGTACTATTTATAATGCAGTTCACCAAAAATAAGCGCTACATGACGTATAAAACACAATTAGTTGATTGTTAAAGGAATATAAGCTTAAACTGCTTTTCGCCTTTCTGAACTTTCAATCAGCTGGATGCTTTACCTTGCCTTGCCCAAAGAACTTCAGGTGATATATCCAGCATAGTTGGGAATTTATCCTTAGTATGTCCAAATTATGCACCTTTAAATTCTCAAAATCATTTTTCAATGATAAATCCTCAGTCATAATTTTTTAACTTAGGCCGCTCCTACAAAACCAAATACTAAAATCTAAGGAGCTTCACTCATTATCAAAAAGGAAAAGAAATTACAGTTCCATAAATCCATACCCAAAAAAAAGGAGGCATTGCCCTCTAAGCTGAATTTTATCTGAGAAATAACCTACTACTATTAAAAGCATGCACTAAAATTTATGCCAAGAAAAAGAAAACATTACTACTCAGCAACTACGAGACTGAACCATAAAGTAATCGGCATAAACAGTGGTAAGAGTTAATAATTCATAAGAAAAAAAAACATAAATCTTCATTCTTCTATATAAGTAAATAAATAAATAACATACAATAATACGTCCTTCAATCCTCAGATCCTTCTGCTCAAATAGCCATATCTGAATACGAGCTTTCTGCAAAATAATTTCTACATCAATTATAATTCAAATAGTAACTGGAAATTAATCCCTAACGTAATAGTTGAACTGAAAAAAATAAATCAAGCATAAATAAGAGGCGCATGAGAGCAAACTTACACTCTGAAGAAACCTGAAGATCAGGTTCTGTTAAAAAAAAAATCCCCAGTTAGTGCAAAAGTAGAAATATTAAAGTTATAAATTGCTCATACAAGAAAATTGGGGAAGAAGGAAGAAACTTACAATGGGTTGGGTCATAATCCTCTGTACTTTGGTGCTAGCCATGGCTGCTACTCCTGTTTCTCTCACGAGTCACTCTTCCTCTCTGATCTCACGGAATGAAGCAAAAACCTAGTTAGGAGATGCTACTAAAACCCTAGTGTTTAATCTGTGAATAGAAATGTCGGGTAGTGCCCGAATTACATTACCGGTGATGAATTCGGGTTTGGGGTGTGTTCATGGTTTGATGTGGTTTTTGCTTAAGAGAAGGCAAAACCAATTCTAGAAGGAAAAAAAAGAAAAAGCCAAACTAATTAAAGTTGGTTTTTTTAAATATTTAAATCAAATAAACCAGATATAGTACTATAAATTTATTGGTTTTGCTTCTGTTAATTTTTTTTATTTGCGTCAATTTAACGATTAGTTTTAATTTCCATATAATGTTCATACACTATCAAAATGAATTCAGTGTGCCAAAAACTTAAAAAAATTTATACCCAAACTGGAAAAAAAAAAAGAATTTAATTCAAATGCTAATAAAACCAAGAAGGATACAGAAAGATATTGAATTGTTTGTAATTCTTGCTTAAGTTCTAAACATTCGGCTTTGCCGTTCTAAGTACTTTAACTATTTCGTATGTTTTAGAATTAATCTATTCTATTATTTGGCAGACCTTTGTGCCCTCGGTTAGTGGTTATTATTATTATTATGTTATTTTAGTTGATAATTTCACTCGTTAGTCATTACACATTGATTTATTTTATTCGTCATAAAAGTGATGTTATATCTTGCTTTATCTATTTTAAACTTTTTGTTGAAAATCAATTTGGTGGGTCTATTAAGGCATTTCGTTCAGACTCAAAGTTCTTCCTTTATCTTCTTTCTTCGCTCGCATGATATTCATCAACAATTGTCTTGCCCTCACACACCTCAGCAAAATGATGTAGCTAAGCGTAAGCACCGTCATATCACATATGTTGCTCACCCTTTACTTTTTCATGCTCATGCCCCTCTTTTTTATAGGTTGAAGCTTTTCCTACTATAGCTTATTTTTGATTGCCTTCCTTCTTCCTCTCTAGCTAAACTCTCTCCCTGTGAGAACCTATTTGGGGTTTCACCTGACTGCATCATTTTTAATTCTTCTCGGTGTCTTTGTTATTCAAATTTGCATCCTTATCGTTCTCACAAACTTGACTCTCATTCTTCTCCTTGCGTGTTTTTAGGGTATAGTTCTAATCACAAGGGATATCGTTATCTTTGTCTTGATACTAACCGTGTCTTTTCCCTCATTTCTTAGTCTTCTAAGAAGCAGCATATTGTCTCTTGCTCTAGTACTGCGGCTGAGTATCATTCTATGGCTCATAGTGTAGCTGAGATATTATGGATTCAACAGTTGCTACGAGACTTGCATATTTTTCTCTCTGACGCGCCACTTTTTTTTTCCTGATAATGTAAGTGCCTTATATCTTATGACGAATCCTATATATCATTCCCCTACAAAGTATCTTGTAACTGATTTTCACTTTGTATGGAAATGTGTAGCATCTGGATCTGTAATGAATTCAATCATCAGTGATTCCAGCCTTATACCATTTATTTATAACAAAGGAAATAATTCACAACTCCAACTATCCTCAATTAGCAACTTTATTCACTAGGTCATGTCTAGTACATGCATTTAACTTAATCAACATCAAGATAACATTAAGCACATGTAAGAACACAATACACATACCTCCTACAGTAGCTTCAAGTCGAAATCCAAGTTATATTTAGCTTACAACAACCCTCAATGGCAATACAACACCATAGAAGTGACTTAAGCTAATCTTCACTTCCAATCTAAAGTTTCATATGTTTCTTTCACCAATTCACTTGATAAACATATAGACATGCATAACAACAGAAACCATATCATAATTAAGTTATTATATATATATATATATATATATATATATATATATATATATATATATATATATATATATATATATATATATATATATATAGACATGCATAACAACAGAAACCATATCATAATTAAGTTATTATATATATATAACACAACCCGACAAAAAATAACATCTCTTCCCCTTTCAAGTGCTATCTTGTAATCTTTGACTCCAAAACTACAACCAACATGTAATTAATCTTTAACACTATCAAAAGGATGTTAAAAATACCTTAGGCAGTAGATAAAATTCGAACCCTAAGCTTAACTTAGCTCACCATCATCCTTATTTACATCACAACACCATAGAGGGGTTATTCTTCACCTTTGGCTAATCTTGATGTTGGATTATGGTGTATTTTTTTGAAATTTGTCTGGAGCACTGGGGAAACTATTTAGGAGGGTTTGGAGAGTGTAAGGATGGAAGGAGGTCGAAAAATGAGCCAAGCTCATCCCAAAAACGAGATAAAAACAAGTGAAGGTCGGCCACCGACCCAAGTGGGTCCCATAGGGGCTTCCTGCGCAGTCTCGCAAAAACGTGAATATCGCTCTACTACGATGTCGTATTGACAAATTGTTTAATGCATTAGAAACTAGACTCATATATAATCAATTTGGTAGGTGGATCATCTAGCAAATCCAAATATAATGGGAGAAAAGCTCAGCTACATTTGGCCTAATTTTAAGCACATTTATGAGCATAACTTCTGATGACCTTCGCAAACTTTTGTTCCACAACTCGCTTGACTTCAAAACATAACACACGACTATGATACAAATAAAATATCTCATAACATAACCTCCTTATCATGTTATTCACCCTAGTCTCACCCAAAAAGTACATGTTATAACATTCCCAACTTGTCGACTTTGACGAAACTACTTGGTATTCATGATCTTAAGTATTTGTAACATCCAAGTTAACATGAATAACTTACTTTATGTTCTTTCAAATATGATCTCGTTTCTTACCTTATATCAATTGACTTGCGACGTACTTTTACCTACGAAAACATAGGGTGTAACATTATTTTCCCCTTTGGAACATTCGTCCTCGAATGTTGACTGATGCGCTTATCAGTCATAACCTATAGATATTACGAATACTTCAATACTGCCCTTGCCATCTAGTCAACTGTTCTGTGAATAAATCCAAAGTCTAGGGTATTCCCCCCTTTAGGCCTCTTTCTCATACCACGACTTATGGTCAAAATTCTTCCAATCTCGTAACTGTCGCTACCTTCTGTCATGCTGCTCTGTCCTTGTATGTGAGCCTATGTGACTCTTTTCTCCTTTTTCCTCCAGCTTTTAGCCAATCTCTAGGCCTCACATTGTGAATATATACAGTACTATGACAAGTTGTCCCTCCCGGTATCTATAGGTGTACTGAAGTTCTCCGCTCGGTACATTGTTGAACTTACGGTTATTTTCTTAGCCTCGGATATCTATCCTTATGGATTTATTGCATCTAGGTATGTCATACTATACCATAACACTTACTTTGAGTTATTATTACCGAGCTTTGCTACCCAACTTCAGGTTACTCTCTTGCTGCATAACCTATATTTATAAATCTAAGTCCTTTAATGCTTCCTCGTCACTGTTCATCTTAAGAATGACAGCCTAATCTCATCTCATAATTTGGAACTTTTATCCATCTATTGTTGATTCACCTTAATGTTAATCTATAATCTACCACTGACAATTTGAAACCTCTTACATAACACATTGTCACTAGGGCTCATGTCTCATCGAGGAACATCTAAAGTGATTTTCCTGATCCACCTAGGAGCGATACAATACTTCAATAACCATATTTTATGGAATTCCAACGTGGTTCATCCTATGGGGGTATTCTAATCTCGTGCAATTCATGAAATCCATTTTCTGTAAATTATTACTCAATCAAAGGCCTAAACGTCATTCTCTTTTCATTTATTACAATTACACTCTCATTCTACTATCAGGGCAGCATTCCATCTTTTCTAAATGCTCCTAGTCTTAGACTCCTCTAAGTTCATTCAGGCTATACTGAGCTTTCTATAACTTATAGAAATCATCAGCTCTCTTGTTTGATGGGCTTAATCCCAATGCCTTACCTATTCTTGTCACCTTCTCACTCACATTTCTCCTGTCTACCTAAAACATTGTCGCTCTACCATACTTTAGCTTGTGATATACACATATCTATTTATGCTACTCGCAACCTTTCTTTAACTTGCTAGCACCATAGATTTCCTTATGTTATTCTGGAACCTCAAGCGAGACATCACGTCGTCTCTAACTCTTATTTACTCTCTTAACCAGATATCTCAGTACCTGGAAACCATAGGATGGAGGATATGATACTAACGATGCCACTATCATTTCTGGATATTGAATTACGACTAGAGGTGGTGGTTGGTGGTGATTTTGGTTGATGGCGGTGGTTCTGGGTAATAGCTAGCGATGATTGGTAGTGGTAGCAATTATAATTAAGGATGGTAGTGGTGGGTGGTGATAGTTAATTATGGTGGGTGGTGGTGGTACGTAGTTGTGATTGAGGAAGGTGGTGGTGGTAGTTGTGATTGAGGAAGGTGGTGGTGGGTGGTGGTAGTTTATAATGATGTGCAGTGCCGGCTATAGTTGTTGATAGTGATGGGGTGATTAGTTGTGGTAGCTAAGGTGGATGAATGTGTAGTTGTAGTTGAGAATGATAGTGATGGGAGCGGTAGGGATGGTGGATGATGGTAGCCGATAATGGTGTCGGTTATGATTGCAGATGATGCTAGTGGTGGTTGAGTATGGTGGTGGCCAGTGGCATGGTGGTAGTTAATAATGGTAGGTGGTAGCGACAGTTAATAATGAATGTGGATTATTGTATCTTAATGAAATTAAGTCTTTGTTATAGATCTTAATCATATTCACTTATTTAGACCCATTAAGTTATTGTAAAGTAAAAAAAAAACACACCTAATGATTAAAATCTGAATAATTAAGATTCATACTTTAAAAACAAACGCACTTAATATTTGAGATGTGAATAATTAAGATTCAGACCTCATTAAGTGCAACCAAATGAGGATGTGACCTAGACCTACACGCATTTTTTAACATAACGCTTTCTTCAACAAACCACAGACGCTTTAAACACCATTTCTTTCCCAAACCTCCTATTACTTTGTAGGATAAACACGATATCGATTCTTATAGATTTCGTCGGACTCCAAGACTTTGATCTCTTTCATTTGTTCTTCCACCGAAAAGCCTTTTCTTTTTTAATGTAAGTTAACACTACCATTGAAGATGG